GTAAAATGTTTTTCGAAATTTCATAAACTTCAAGAAATCGGCGTAAATAATATTGTTAAAATGATATGACTTTAAACTTAAAAGTTAAAACTTTTATATAAATTTAATGAAATATTGCGAAATCTTTTAAACTAAATATACGAGAAAATCTCATTAGACAAATATAATTTTACATACATATTTTCGAACAAATATATAACCTATTAAAAAAACATATATATGACCTATTATAAGGGGTCTATTATTCAATAGAAACAATGGCGAGGAATATGGTTATTGTTGGGTATGGCTCATACTTCACATGATGATGTTGGCCCTAATTGTCGGGGTCAGCAGAAAGGCAACTGGGGGCGGGGGTCCGGGGGAGCCGCCCCGGCAGGGGTCCGGGGGGCAGCGCCCCCAGGCCCGTAGAGGCTAGGTAATGTTTAGGCCTCTGTTTCTATTGTAATTTTCTTAGCAGTTTGGGCTTGGGCCCATGAATAGCTGCTGTTAGGGTTTCTTGTAATCCTATTTATATTTGCCTTGTAAACCGAGAGACTTGTAACGAGTGGCGGTGATGTGAATATAGTACAGACAAGCTGGACGTAGCCTATATTGGGTGAACCAGGGTAAATCATCGTGTCAATCTCTCTACTCTTATCTCTTTTTCTGTTTTCTCGATTCTGTGTGATTGTCGATTTCGAACAGTTATTCTGTTATAACATGATTTCTTATAAATAAATAGGCTAATATGATAAGCTAAATAGACTTTTAAAATACCTTAGCCTTAGCATATTTATAACGTGCTTGATTTTTTATTTAAAAAGATTTAAATCATGATTGTGAAATTTTAAATGCAAATTGAAAATGTTACTAATTAAATAAGAATTTCTAAAAGCTTAAAACTAAACGTCTATTGTTGAGTAAATAAGTTAGGTAAAAATAAAATGAAAATAAGATAAATGATAAGTTTCGTCAGCCATATTTAATTGCCGGGGCCAAGAGTGCGTTTGGATTGCATTTTAAAAAAAGTTACTTCTATGTCCTACTTATTTTAAAAGTGTTTTTTATAAAATTTTAAATAAATTATTTAAAATTTTTAAAAAATATTTATTTTTTGAAAAAAAAAATAGCTTTTGACTTTTGCTTTTTTGATAAGCTAAAATTTTTAGCTTATAAAAAAAAGTAAATTTTTTTGGCTTTTTTATGACTTCTGTTTTTTTAGAAGCAGCATCCAAATGCACTTTAAAATAAAAGTGCTTGTTTTTTGGAAGAAAAAAAAGTAACTTCCTACTGAAAAAAAGCTCATCCAAACGGATCTTAAGAACCAAGTATTATGAAATAGACAATGTTCAGTATGAACATTAAAGGGTTAATCTCGTGAGAAATCTATCCTTTATTCGCCTGTTTAAATCTTTATATATGGTCTTATTAACGGTTATAATCATAATGGATAGTTAATAGTGATGCCATTATTGAGATTGTGGTAGGGTCCACTTGTGCCACTAAAACATGGGCTAGGGCCATATTCTGGGCTCCTACTATGGATTTCGCGTATATATATTCAATGATGCACCGACACTGATACGGGACACGACACGATACGACACGTCGACAGGTTAATTCTAAAAAATGTCATATTTTGACACGTTGGGACACGTTTTGATATTAAATAAAAAATTTAATATATATAATATAATCTATATTTAATACATATAACAGTCCACAATAAGTCATATAACCAATCTAATATTCAAATTTCATAATATAAATATAAACAAAAATAATTTTTCGTATTTTGTTAATTTTTCATATGAAATTTCATAACAGAAAAAATTAATTTATAAACTATTATTTTTATATTTAGTTAATAAAATAAATTTAAGACTAAAAAAAAAAATGTGTCGGAGTTTGTCGGAAAAAGTTGACTGCGTGTCGAAAAAACGTGTTGGAACGTGTCGAAGAGTTGATCGCGTATCCCAAAATATTGACCGCGTATCGGACGCGTGTTGAAACATGTCAGAGCGTGTCCATGTCAGACATGTGTCCGATACGCAATTTTTTCACAAAGTTGCATATCCGTGCTTCTGAGTATATATTAGTGCCAAACTGATTGATCTTATCTGGGCATGAGCCTTAATTTTGTGACCTTCTATGATTATAAGACTCAGATATGCTTCACAGCCCATATTACAAACCCGGGATAGAAAGTGAAAAAATGTATTACCCATAGATGTACCCTCAAATTGGAAGGTGAGCATCGTGCAACCCAAACTTGGAACTGATAGACCGAATAGGTTTTTTTATTTATTTATTTATAAATGTCTGTAAGCTAATTAGAAGAATTTATGGGAATCTATTTCGATATGTCTACTTCTTTAATGAAAGGTGGGGTTGTGAGTTGGATACATGGCAGAGTGGTTGTCACAAAATCCTAACATGAGTTGAGAAATGGGGATATGCAATTCCTTCAGCAGTTAGGATAGCCATTATAAGAGAAGCAAGGGCCCTATACTCAAAGGCATAAACAAAACTCTTGAAATTCAGATTGATCCAGTTTTAATTGTCTTTCTTGACGAGAAACCAAAGAAAACACGTTGTTAACATTTGGGAGAGGGTCAATTAACATGATTTGCAACCTCACATGCTAAAATTGTACATTCAACCCTCTCAAGAAACGAATGACTTCATCTCTCTTGCATTTGGATCAAAACACCACACTTACAAGTTACAAGTTGGTAAAGGTTGCAAGCTATCCAATTCTTGCCAAAGTATTTTCAGCTTTGTTAAAAATTCAGAAACTGACCTCTCTCCGTGTTGAATGCGAAAAAATTCTTCCAGCAAATTAGAAAACCTTTGATTTAGATCTTTCCATACATCACAAGCTCGATCGATCTATAACCTATATTATGCAATGGAGTTAGAGATGGATTTGTGGATCCAAGATAGAAGAACCATTGTGTTGCATCTTTCCCAAGCATCAAAGAAAGGGTATGAATTAGCATTAAAGATGAATTCTCATTAGGTTGCAAGAAATAGGGATTAGCGGGATCGTCATGAACTTTGGGAACATAAATGATGAGCTCTGGTTCTCCATTTGGAAGAAAGAAATCAGAAATTTTTGAATCGAAATGTGGGGGAAAAAAATGAAGTATTGAATCTTGGTAAAGAAAGATTGAAAACAGTTGTGAAATACCATACCTTATTACGATACAGAAAGTGAATAAATGTATTACTCGAAATTTTACAATACAAGAATGCTAATATATAGATCAGCTGAAGTACAATTGAGAAGTGTAAAAGGAGGGAAACTGAAGTACTACTGCATAATTGTTCAGCACTACAGTCTACAGCTGCAGCCTGTCTCCCTAACTGTAGTCACATGATTGTTATAACGGAAAAGGAAATAACAGCGGTATGTATATAAAGTGCATCTGCATAAATATGAAGCCAATATAAATATAACACTGATATCAAGGACTCATCTAAATAAACGGAGACACACAAAATCTCCTTCTAGGTAGTTTTGCTAAAAAGCTTATTGACTTTTCGTTCTTGTTGTTTCATATGTACCGAACGAGTTCTGTACAATCGTAATAGGTGAATCTGCCCTTCAACAAATGATACTTGAATAAAAAACATATTGTTCTCTCCGTTTTGTACAAACATCATATTATTCTTCAATTTTTATTGGCTAGTTGCACCGAAGCGGTGCAACAATAATACTATAAATATTTCCGTACCAAACACGGAATGCATCAAGTACCTTATTAAATGTTGGATATAACTCATATTTTGCATACTTATGATGACCTTTGTTGGTGGAGTCAACAGAAAGCCAATTGAAATCTCGCTCCCAGGGGAGTAGGCAGGAGTCCGGGGGAAACCACCCCACGAGGTGCAGGGGGCAACGCCCCGGGTCCATAGAGATTTGGTAGTACTATTATGAACCTTTGACTTATTGTAATTTTATATTTTTAGTAATTTAATCTTTTGCTCATGAATAGCTGCTGTTAGGGTTTTCTAAATTCTATTTATATTTTCTTATAAATCGAGTGACTTGTAATGAGTGACAGTAAGATGAATATAATAGAGACAAGTTGGATGTAGCCTGCATTAAGTGAACCAGGATAAACCTCTACGTGAATTTTTTTCTCTTTCTCTTTTCTTTTTTTTCGATTTGTGCTATTTGTGTGTGTCAATTTCCATTTTAAGATTTTTTATAAAGTTTATTATATAGTTAGTCAATTATGATAAGTCAGTATATAATTGAGTTTTACTTGGTTTAGTTAAAATGTAATTATGGGGGGAACTAATGTGTAAGAATACTTTCATAAACTTGGCTAATATACCTAAACTGAATGCAATACTCTAATAATATTATTAAAAAAATTAGCATAATCAATATAACAATTACTTATTATAAACAAGGGCTTTCAATCTCTCATGTAACAGAAAAGTCGAACATTTTCTACAGACTCATCGATACTTGCGATGTTTATTTTTTTTTATTTTTTTTTGAAAAAACAATAGTGGGGCCCACTTTTGGAGTTTGTGTGACATGATATAGTGATTTTCCTGTAACATTATATTTATAAATCCCTATAAACAATTATGTAATTTGCCCAGTACTAAATTTATACAAGTTTGTCTACTCTGTGATGCGCGGTACATAAAAATCATTGATATTCTTTGAGTAGTCTTTACTCTTTAGTTTATTGAGTATTTAAACCCATCCAAACTTTTCAGTTGTTTCACTGTTTGCTATTTCATGGACACTCTTTGATATTAGATAGGTTCTATATAAATATCTAACAAAGGGGTAAAAGAATATGAACTTTTATTCATGCTTGTCCTTTCTAGTTTTCACACCAACTTTCATCCTTATCGAAGTCCAGAGCTTTCTTCTACAGTCTTTCCATTTTATTCTATTTTTGTACGAACACGGAGATGACCCAAGCGATTTCTGATTTCAAGTATATATAACATACAATAAGAAAGCAATATATATTGTATACAAAAAAATAAAATAAAAAAGCAATATATTGATTACTACTCATACATATGTAATAATTTGAAGGGATCAACTAAACAATAACAGCTTTAAAATCAGAATATTATTACAATAATAGAGTCTCTCCCTGCATGGTAAGGACATAGCATTAGGTAGCAAAAATAATGGTTGGGTCACAGCAGCACTCGTCCAAGAGGCAACAACAACACAAAGCTGCTAGGCTGCATATTTTTTTTTAAAAAAGGAAAATTAAAAAGATTTTTGGCAAGAAATGAATATCTGCTTGAATCAAAAATAAAAAAATTAATGTTACTTTTTACTTAATTGAAGAGTATATATATAATTGCTTACCATCCCTCAAGGAAACCCCGTTCTCTTTTAGGCGGTGGTGGAGCAGCATAGTATTGCGGAGGCGCTGCTACCGGAGGCTGCCCCTGATAAGGACCTGTGTGGGACATAACAAGTAACAACAACAATTTAGTAATAATTAATAAATACAAAAATAAGAAGTTTTTCAAATTCAAGCAACGATTTATGCAGTGGTTACAAATCTATCAATTGCTGCAACTAAACAATGTAAATTGAGGGATGAAAAGTGTATATATATATATATATATATATATATATATATATATATGGTGTATGTACCTTGAGCAGGATATGGATAGCCATATTTAATCTCACTCATCTCTGCAAGAACAACCCTTGCTAAATTATTTCTTGGAAGACAGAACTAGTACCTTGGTTGGAATGCTGGGGTTTGGTATATATACAAACACACGCATGCTTTTAGGAAAAGCCAGGGAGAATATAACTGGTGGAGAGAGCTAAGAAGAAAGATCCAGAAATGACATTTCATTTCATTTCATTTCACACTAATTGGATGGTAGCATATAATTTCGCTGTCACTATTAGATGCTATATTATATTTTTCTTTATATTTTACTTTGAGAAAGTTATCCACCGCTACCATATCCTTTTCTTTAGTTGTGGATTCTAAAGCAAGATGACTATTACAAAAAAAAAGCTGCAAGAACATCAAAAAAAACCTTCGGAGTCCCTTTCTGACACGTGGCTTGATTAGAGGGCAAGAATACTCTTGTGCGGCTTCTCTTTCATCAGAAGCTTCTTTCATCACTCGCAAGAAAAAAAGGTCAGAAAAGGCTTGGGCATGCAGTCCCATGTGAATACAAAGTGGTATGAAAAGCACTCACATGATGAGCCAGAAGGGCGCTAGCTATACTGTGGGGAATGGTACCTGTCTTAGCATTTTGGGTTATTAGGAGCTTTAAGGCTGGATATATTCCTTTTCACAATTCCGCGTGCTATTACCGCGTCTTCCTAGGTCTTTAAGGCAACCTTCAAGATAATTATAAGTAAAGAATCAATTTAATTAAAAATTTTAAGTGTTTGAATAAGAGTTTTTTAATAGTTTATATTATACTTACAAGAGAACTCGTTAAGCTTGAAAGGTGAATGGTGCATCATGCCCAACTTATCTGTGCTAAGAAATTCCGCAAAGAAAATAGATGACGGCAAGGATCGAATCCGAAACACTGAAGTTCTAATAACATGTAAAAATCAATTTAATCTAAAAACTTAATTATTATGTGAGGAATTTTTTAATTATTTATATTATACTCTGACAAATAACTAGGAATATTTAAGATTCTAATTAAGTTGGATAGCCTCCTAGGTGATTGTTTAATCTCTATACCCGAATATCTTAATTAACATATTGATCCTTAATTACTCCAAGTTCTTAATTCACATTTTGGGCAAATAGCTGGGTGGCTATAACGTGCCTCAAATGGCTTGCCTGTGAGGGAAAGAATCATGGAGTAATCTATATACAACTAATCAACAAGAAAAGCCATTTGAGCATCAATGAGTAATGTGGTTGTGGGGTGCCTCTTTAATCAGCAGAATCATGCTACCGAAGTGGCTAAGTTGGGTGTATACTCTGTATTGTAAGATGATATATTATTATATTATATATAATTGATCGGGCCAATTGGCTTTGGTTCTTTAATGTTATTTGCTTTTTATCTTTTCAGATTACTTCGTAGCTTTAGCTCTGGAGATCATTTGGTTCTTGACAAAATTACTGAATCCAAAAACTGATGTACTCTGTTAATGCTTGATGTATAAGTTTACTCTCTGATCAATAGAACAGAACTTACTCGGAGAAAGACTGCTGTGAGATCGACCAGGCATAGTTTTGAGTTTTGACATGAGCCTCTGTTGATTAAGTCAGAAAGGGGATGCTTAGTGCAATAACTAGAGATTTGAGTAGATAACTGTTAGCACCATGAGCTGCAGCAAAATCAGAGCATCCCCTTTTATGATGACTTCGAAAATTTGCATTGTTAATATAATAGACAATAGTTGCCATAGGACACTCAAAAAAGGGGAGGAAAAGAGAGATAAACTCGTTTCTAAAAAACTTACATTACAATAAACAATCATTGGCTTTCAACTGAAATTTTTTAATGATAATTAATCAGTGCCTCAAAATTAAACACTTCATTTTGAGATTTATATATAAAAAAAGGATCGATATTTGTATTTTTAAAGGACATATAATTATGTCATTTTAATCAAAATTATAGTTTTTACTGTGAGAGAAAGAATTACACAATAGAAATTATAAACTATAATGAAAAAAGTGAGAGTTTTTACGTGGGTGGACGTGATGGTTCAGCATCTCGTCTCTTAAGCAAGTGGTTGGGGGTTTGAACCCCAACTCTTGTTAATGGAAAACATTTCGTGGCCAGCTCTTTACCGCTTTGTGTGCTGACTCGGGGCGAGGGATTAGTCTCATGGCTATCAACTGTGGGGATACCCAGATGTAATCCAAAAATAATAATTATCCAGGACAAACATTTTTTCTATAAAAAAATATCTTTCTTTTTTCATCTTTCTTTTTCATTCAAGAGAAAGAAGATAAGAAATATTGAGATATGCAAAAATATTATCTCTCTAAATTCTTTTTTCTTTTTTTCAACTATAAATGCACTAAATAAGGAATAAATGCGATCTAATCTCTCCTTTTACATTGCACCGAGAAATTTAATAGTAGTAGGGTGTTTATCAATTGATTCAAATCGATTCAAACTAGGGGTGTTCATCAACCGATCCAAACCGATTCAAACCGCAATAATCGAACCGAAAAATCGATAACCGAATAAACCGAAAATCAAAAAATCAAAAACCGAAAAAAACCGCAAATTTTAATTGGATTGGATCGGTTTTCGGATGAGTTAATAAAAACCGATCCAATCCAAACCGATCCAATATATTAATTTCTCTCTACCAACTTGAGTTTCTTTTTCAATCATAGCCCAAAAATTTCTAAACCAAAGATCCATTAACCATCAACTAAATCCAAGAAAAAGCCTAGTCACATCTCATTAACAAAATTTAATTTGTGTAGAGCTTCATATCTCATTGTCCAAAAAAGAAAAAACTATATTATCGTTTAATGATGCTTTTGTATTTAAAAAAAATAAAATTACAAAGTCAATATATACAAAAGATGTTATTTGCACAATAATCATGAAACAAATTTTAGGATTTTAAAAAAATCAAAAACCGATCCAATCCAAACCGAAAAAAATTGTATTGGATCAGATCGGATTTGAAAAAAAATTCAAACCGAATGGATGATTACATGATCAAACCGAAGGGATTGGATCAGATGATTTTTGCTTCCAAAACCGATCCAATCCAGACCGCGAACACCCCTAATTCAAACAGCGATGACCGAACCAAAAACCGATAACTGAATAAATCGAAAATCGAAAAACCGAAACTTTTTTTGCAAATTTTAGTTGGATTGGATCGGTTTTCAGATTGGTTGATGAAAACCGATCCAATACAAACCGATCCAATATATTAATTCCTCTCTACCTACTTGGGCATTTCCCCAATCATAACCCAAAATTTTCTAAACCGAAGACCCATTAACCCATCAACTGAACCCAAGAAAAAACCTAGTCACATCTCATCAACAAAATTTCATCTGAATAGAGTTTCATATCTCATTGTCCAAAAAAAAAAACTATATTATCATTTATTGATGCTTTTGTATTTCAATTTTTTTTTTTTTACAAAACCAAGATAAAAGATGTTATTTGCACAATAATTATGAAACAAATTTTAGAATTTTGAAAAAATCAAAAATCGATTCAATCCAAACAGAAAAAAAAAATTGGATTGGATCGGATCAAATTTGCAAAAAAATCTAAACCGAATGGATGATTACATTATCAAACCGAATGAATTGGATCAGATAATTTTTGCTTTCAAAATCAATCCAATTTAAATCGTGAACACCTCTCTAGATAGTACTAACCCCAAGCTACAAAACATAGATTTGCCTAATTTGTGGACAATCCCACATTAGTACTCGGACCTTTTTCCAAGTGCTCAAGTGGTTGTGGGTCTGCAGACTCGGTGGAGCGTATTCCTAATGCTAAAATAATGTTATTCTACCAAATGGTGATAATTCAATTAGTAACAATTAGCAAGAAAATTAACTAAGCTAAAAGGAAATGGGTTGGCCCACTCGAACGGAAATATTTATTATGGTCCAAGATCACCCAATGATCTAGTGCTTCCTTTCACATCATCAATTTTTTCTTTTTTCTTTTACCCCTATTATTTTTTTTCTTTTTCAATTTTACCCCTCCATTTACACTAAGGGACCACCTATTGACCACCTAAAAAATAGTGGTCCCGGACCACAATAAATAATCTCCACTTGAACCGCTGCAAACCCATAAATAATGGGTAGGCCTGCCCGGCTTTGTCTGTTAAATGTGGGTTAAAATATTTAACTCGTCACCTTTTATGGTGAATTAATGGGTTGGTAGGTTAATTTGTCTAAAAAATAAAAAATAAATTATATTTTATGAATTTTATAATATAACTTTTTTTCATTTCACATTTTCCTTAGTTTTTTTTAAATCAAACTTAAATGTATGCTAATACTCAGTCAGACATTATTTAAGAACTTATTTTTGCCTTCATATATGGATAACTTTTGTTATAAATAAAAAAAATTCTTTATTTTCCTGAGAGAGTACTGAGATAAAAAAATTAAATATCACAAAAGCTTAGTGATAAATAAAATATTACCTAATAGTTAAAAAAAATGACACGACGAGTCAACTCTCCCTGACCCGCCCCTAACCTGTTTTGACCCATAACCTAGCGGGGCAGGTTGGTGGGTTAAGATGTGTAACATATCCCGTCCCGTTTTGACGGGTTGACCCATCAGATTCAACCCATACTGTCACCTCTATTTTGATAAACCCTTGGTTTACCATGTTTTTATGCTAAATTCTACAAAAATTATATGGTAGATTGCATGGAATATAAGATTTAACAATATAAAATCACAAAGATTTGAAAATTTAGCTAATGTTTTCATATCTTGCTTATTTTGAAGGTAAATCCACAAGATTTGGGGCTAAGAAGTGATAAAGGAATTGTAACAAAGATTTGAAGCCCAATCTGCAGGATCTTAGAGGAAAAGAAGGAAACAAATATGACTTGATTGAGAATAGATATAGATCCATGGGAAGATTTGATAAGGGGTCATAACAAAGATTTGAAGCTCAATCTGTCACCCAATCTGCAAGATCTTAAATAAAAAAAGGAAGCAATTAAAGATTTGATTGCGAATTTGATAAAGCTCCATTGGGAGATTCAATAAAGGATATGGCTTCAATGGTTATAAATAGGGAGCTAACAGACAAACCAATTCACCAATCCAGAGAATTACATAGAGACCTGAAGGAGGAATTCTGTTGCGGAGCGCTG